AAAAAAAAAAAAAAAAAAAATCAAAAAAACCCACAGTTTCTATTAAATCACATTTTTTGGGTCTTTTTTAAATTTTCTATTTTAAAGATACAAAAATCACACTTTTGAAAAGTACAGTATTTTTAAGAGTGCCCTCCATTTTATTTTATTTTAACTATTTTTCCTTTTTTTGAGTCAGGGATTCACACTGTCACCTAGGCTGGAGTACAACGAGATCATGGCTCATTGTGACCTTGACCTTTTGGGCTCAGGAGATCCTTCTGCCTCAGTCTTTCAAGTAGCTGAGATTATAGACATGAGCTACTACACTCAGCTAAGTTTTTGCATTTCTTTTGGTTTTCTTTTTCTTAGAGATGAGGTTTCGCTATGTCGCTCAGGCTGGTCTCGAGCTCCTGGGCTCAAGCAATCCTCTTGCGTTGGCCTTCCAGAGTGCTGGGATTACAGGCATGAGCCACTGCACCCGGCCAGGTTCCCTTCATTTTAAATTAAACCTTATTTTGAAGTAATTATAAATTCACATGCAGCTGTAAGAAATAATACAGAGAAATCCTGTGCATTCTTTAGTCAGTTTTTCTCACTGGTAACATCTTACAAAAGTATAACACAAAGTCAGAAACAGGACATTAATATGCTCCATCAATCTTATTCCAATTTCCCCAGTTTTATTTGCATTTAACCTCTGGCTTTCCTTTGTGAGTAGTCTCTTTTCCCTTCTGACTGCTTCTAGTATCTTCTTTGATGTCCTACAATTTTACTATAACGTGTTTAACAGATTTCTTTCAGTCTTGCTTGGAATTTACTGGGTTTTTTGAATCTACGCTTTAGTATCTTTCATCAATTCTGAAAAGATCCCTAACCATGATCTCTTCAATATTGTCTCTGCCCCACCACAACCTCGATCTGCTGGGCTCAGGCGATCCTTCCACCTCAGTCTTCCAAGTAGCCAGAACCACAGGCACATGCCACCAAGTCCAGCTTATTTTTTGATTTACTATAGAGATGAGTCTTGCCAAGGTGCCTAGGTTGATCTCGAACCCATGGGCTCAGGCAATCCTCGCACCTCAGCCTCCCAAAGTGCTGGGATTATAGGCATAAACCACTGTGCCTGTCCTTCCTCTCTCTTCTTCAACTCTAGTTAAACTTGTTAAATTTATTATCTTCCATCTTACTTAATATCCCTGTCATATTTTCTAATCTTATACTGTCGTCTGGAAAATTTCTTCTAATTTATGAATTCCCTCTTCATCTACATTGATTCTGCTATTCAATTTACCCATAATTTTTAAATTTTAATAATTTATATTTTCCTTTCTAGAAATACCATTTGTGCTTTTTCAAAACCTGCTTGGTCATTCTTGATAGTCTTGCTCGCTTTCTAAAATTTCTTATTTCTATAAAAATAATGAAATGATAATTTTTCTTGGAACTTGAAGGAAATTTTTAAGTTTTAAAGATCTATATAAAGGTGAATTCCTCCCATGAGGATCTCTGATTCTGGTTATGTCCTGTAGATACAAGCAATTCATAGCCAATTTAAAACGATTTATCTATTTAGGTTTTTTTTCTTTTTAGATTTGCTTTTAAGGCTCTCATCATATTTAGATTTTTCAGAGATAATGTATATTCTGACCAGGAGCCTGCATGGAGATTTTGGTTGCAAATTCTGAGGCAGAGTACTTCCTCTCTCTAACCAGCACCACAGTTAAGATGGGCAAATGCTCTGTTGTCCTTTTCAGTTTAGCAAAGCTAGCGTGTCCCCCAGTGACGGTGCAGGTCTTCCA